TGGCACGAGCTCGCAGTATCCCACGTGGACAAGAGAAGATTATCGGTCATTTAAGCCTCCACCAATCGGATTGCAATACTGCTGGCATAATTCTGCTTCTTTCTGCACTGTATCGGATTGCCTGGCATGTAGTCAGAAACCGTACGCGGGTCATTGATGTCAGCATTCGAATTTGATTGATCGCATGTGTCCGAAAACTGTGACGCGCTGCGCTAGGGTAGGCGTCATCTCGTAGGCCTGAATCACCACAACTATGTAATTCAAATCAATAGGAAGAATGCCGTGATTGCGTTGACCTAAAAAGATCACTACTTCATCCGGTCACAATGCTAACTGGAACATCATCGGAGGCTTTCTGAATGGGTTTATTCATACAAACTTTGTCCAGGAAGAATAAATAACATCACAATGATCCTAGTTCACTTTTATGTTGGGGGGTTTCCTTATTATACATGTTACATACAGCTGCAAAACCGGTGTGGCTGTCTACAGGTTAAGCCTGTCGCCACCAGACTGCAATGACAACCCATCTTGTTTGAAAACAACTCACCTTTGCATCCGGATAAGCTTGCATGATGTACGAATAATAAGCCGCTGCCGGAAAATCCACCGCTGCACCGTACCCATGCAGAAGTTGTCGAATCAATTGTATGTCTACCGGCGAACCACCCGGACGCTTCGATTCGGTTATTTGCCTGTCCAGTTCGATCCATTTCTCTGGATGATCTGGATGATGATCGATCATTTGAAACATGTGATAACACGGACGCTTCAGGAGTATTTCCAGTGCTCGTTTTAAACTAGCCGTTCCGGTTCGACCGCATCCGGCCCCGATGACGAGGAGAGGTTTGTCTTGATTGGAATCGGACATCCTCAGCAATGTAGTAGCGAGAATTAGGTATTTGTACGGGAACAGGCGATACAATTATTCCAGTCCTGGAGCAACCAGTTTGTATTTGAATGAGAATAAATATCCTATGTGTGCAATAACGCCAACGGATGCAGAATCCGTAATCCGGTTCAACTAATCCACGCTCATCGACATCCGATTACAAAAGAATCACACATATGTATATCTATTGTCAGATTAGTAAACAATCAGAATGAAAGTTTTCGGGAGCCACCGGAAAGATCAAAAGTATCAAGAAATTTACGTTGCATTATGGTCTACCCGGATACGTAGTTTAGTAGGACAAGAACAGATAGATGGAGAGGGTGATGAAGCACGTAAGGTTTTGCTAATAAAATCGGTTCCAGGCCTGCTGTGTGGTTGATATACCTAAATCAGGTCACGTCAAATCAAGAGTGCACTTTATCCATCCATTGTAGGCAGAATTTTCAGTGAAAAAATATTATCCATGTTTGTTTTGGTACACGTGCTATTAAGATGGTTGTCTATCAGTTTCTTCTGTGGTTGTCTCCATGCCGTTTGTTTTGATCAAAGTGCAATTATTGACTGAAATGTAAACTTATCGAAGTCATGATAAACAAAAAAGCCCAATTTGTTTCTAAACTGTTTCAATCCCCTACTCCGTTTTTAATTCTCAATCACCAGCTGAATTATAATTATTCTTACGATACATTCCATTAATAATTGGTATAGTATGACGTCAGTGACGATTGTATTCCTTTATCACAATACTTTATTTCTATTTTATTATGACGGGTGATATGAAGTGGTAGGTATTCACTTTTTTGAGATTATTTCATCCTTTTTCCTTAGCTTGTTCATATGTGCTTCTGTGGTGATCTTAGCTTACCAGATAACGTCAATCGCGAGACCACGCGTTACAGTTTTTGCACCACAAACCAACATCATTGCCTAATCACAAGCCATGTGTTTCACACCGGAATCGCTTGAGGAAGAAATAGAAAGCAGGCAACTGGTGAGGATCTGTTTAGCCAAGGAGTTCTTTGGACATTTTAATTAATTCCATTGACTTCCTCGAATAAACTAGCCACCAGCTTTTTCCGGTGTCTTGTTGACAGTAGACTTCGACAGACGGATGATACATCTTTTCTCATCAAGCTTTAATCAAAACTCGCAGTTCTCTAGCCTAGACCAGTAATCTTTTAGCCAAAATCAGATTCCTGATTTGGGATTCGGAGTTTGCATCTCGTGTGCCCCCCGGTTACTGCAAATCTCTCGGAACTTTCCCCCTTCCAATAAGCATAGGCCAGTA